AAACACGTAACGCTGTTAATTGCATCTTATCACATAGCCATTTTTCACAATTCTATTCTACATATAAGAATACAAATACGTGGGTGCATTAGATTCATCAAATCAGTCAGCCAAATCAAGCGTGTGGGACACGAAATTAAATATAATTTATTTTGGATGGTATTGTTGTTAAATCAGTCTCTTTCGATGGCTAATACAATATCTGCTAAGGAAGGGAGAAATCTGATGGATTGAGCTCAGAAAAGAATAACGCCGTCACTCACTATTCTTGAAACTTGAATCAACTCACATTTAAAATGTTAGGAATATTTTTGTTTAAATCTAATATTCCAATCTCTTTTTACATAATGTTGGCTGGAATTAATCTTATAAGTAATAGCATTATACTTTAATATTGATCCTCACTACTATTGCTTTTTGAGGGGGTGTTTTTAGTGGATAAAATAGTGACATTCTACCCTACCAAGGACACTTTTTTCGCCTAGGTACATTGAAGCCACACGATCAACAAGTACTTCGCAATTACTTTATTTTATTTTTTAATTTTCAACTAATACAAAATTTGCTACTATGCTGCCACGAATGATGCCCTAAGTACAGGGCACTATATATATAGGCCCCTCACGGGCAAGTCGGTAGGTCCGACCTACACAAAAAAAATAAAAATCGCACGAGCCCCGCTCCTTGTGTCTGTCCCGCTTGCCCTATACGTGAATCATAACCCATGCCGCCACATACATCGCACACTAAATGGCACAACACTTATACAACAAGGTTCAATGTCTATGTTTGCTCGTTTTGTTATCAGAAGGTAATTTTAATATCAATTATGCTATAGCACCTGCTGCTGAACATTGTGAAATATTTGGCACTAAGATAGCTAGTCCAACCATTTCGTCAAGATGAACAAGACGTATTCTATCATAAGTCGTTTTCTATCAAGAAAAAAGTGCATTATTTCTAGTAGTGGATCCATAATCAAAAAAGTGTTTGTGATTACTTCAGAAGAAGTAAAACAAAAGATATGCCCTTAGACAAGGCCAGACATAACATAGAATTTACACCTAGAAAGGGTAGACAATTAGTCGGAGCAGCAAGTGCTGTGCACTGTGCGCACAAGCAGTTGCCGATCCCAAGCCAACATCCCGAGTTTCCGAACGATGTCAAGAGGGCAACATCTGATCATCGCACATTGGCAAGTACCACACGCTGACAAATGGGCATGAACATATGCCGAAGTTTTACCACACACTTTCTTCTGATGCAGTGATCACCAAATACCAGTCTCACTCTTGTATGATGAATAAATAACACTCAAATATGTTTTCATACACAGCGCCATTAACATTTTATACTACAGGATCGTCTTATTTATGAAGAGATAAGTAATGCTGATAAAAATAAGTAAACCTGCCCAGTTTCAATGAGCCTCATAATATCCACCAGAGGTAACATGTGCTCTAGTGAGGGGAACTCCTCTAACAGTAACAGCTGATATTGCTTCGTTTAGCTTACTTGCGTGGTGAACGACTTGCTCGATCCTCTGTATCCCCACAAGATCGTGTTATTAATCCGTTTTAATCAATTAAAGAGATCACAAATGTATGATTTCACATTCTTGAAATCTTGATTGAGTGACAAAAAGGGATTTAGTTGATGGAACTGAATTGAGGTACATACCTTGTCATTTGTATAGATTTGCAACTGAAGCTTTTGATTCTGCTGTTTACTTCTCTGGTGACTCCCAAAGATGATGAAGGAGACAGTGGCAGCCGCGACTCCAAAGGAGAAAATAGCGCCAACTCCATTTAAACTCCATTTCCATATATTTAATCCCCAATTATTTTCCTCCATATCCATGTCTGAATCACCTTTTACTTTTGATGCACAACTCTTGCCGTCCAAGGCCTCCACTTTATAAGCCTCTCCATTTTCTTCAAACTGATAAAAGCCTGTACCTTCAATCTGAGGCATGATTCCACTTCTACTAGACTTGGGTGACTCCACTTTCATGTCGACAAATTCAGGCTCCTTCATTTTCTTGAAGAAAACTTGGGAAACCAGGTCTTCATCAGCTTCAGAAGCCGATCCGGTATTCAAAGGTTTGATCTTCTCCGGTAAAACTGATGGCATCATCTTAACCTCAACCGGGACTTGATTAGGTATCTCCTGATCACACGGTTTGAGAATTGTCGGTTCCAAGTGAATTGGGACTGGTAAAAGTTGATTGGTTGTTGATTCGACGAATTGTGGACTAGATTTAGTTGGACAGACGAAGTAATTCGTCTCAAGAACACTAGTTAAACCACTACTATACTTCCTAGAGTAGATTTTCTTCCCTCCATCATCATGGATTTCGAGAAATCCATCATCAGGTAGAAGTTCCCACTCTTCAAGATCCATTCCGCTTAAGGATTTCATTGAAGAAATAATGATTGATAGAGGGCTCAAAAGGGTATGAATCTTGGTGGTAAAAGAAGGTGGCTCGCATGGAGTGTAGTGTGGAATCCAATTGAGATTAAGCCACCCCCTTCTTCATGTCTTGTTGCACTATGTTGAATCGGCTTTTTGGAGGAATATAATGGAAAAGCTTATCCTCTATAAGCATACAAATTGACAATGGTCCATATGTCCCACCAAGGAAACCCTCGCTCTTTAATGATTGGATTGGGCTGCTACGTACTTTATTTTACAATTTTCTTTCTGATTTGTTGAAGGTTTCTACGATTAATAAATTGTTACTTTGCATAAGAAAGAAAAAGTCGTCAATACACCATATAGAGGAGATTCTTATCTTATTTTAGTCTCACTCTAAAAATATATTTATTGGTTGCTTGGTAAGTTGGAGAGGAATGATATTGACAGGAAAGTGGACCACAACGAGCAAAAGGGCAAAAAGATGCTATTAAAAATCAACGAACCTGTCCATTGTTTGGTATTTAAGTTGATTTTTATTTCTTTGGTTCGAGCAAATTACTAGACGGTTCTTTAGACAGCTAGTCTTAAAAATACGCCCATAAAATTTTCCACCTAATATGCATACTATAATTGAAATATTTACCTGTCCTACCATTTTGTACAACTAATATCCAGATAAAAGAAGAGAAACGTTTGAAATATATGATAAACGACCCATTTTGTCCATTTCTCAGGTATCCAAAAATGCTGATATTCATTATCATACCATTTCCAATAAAATCTTGTGTTCGTATGTCGGGATGAAACGTGTGGTTGGAACTGTTAGACGCAATTATTTAATTGACCCACTTGTCACAGGTACAACTGTTGCGTAATCGAGAAAGCGGTCTCCAGAAGACGCATGTTTAAAATGTACAAATACTGCCCCTTCAAAAATTTTCTTTCCCTCCATTATTTTCAACCACTCACAACAAAATAATCTTCAAGTAAATTTAAAAATCCTTCAACTTTTTAACCACACGTTTTCTAATAAACTACAATTCAAAAACTCATTTTCTTCAAAAATGGTTGTCAAAAAGGGCTAAATATATTCTTCTAGCAAGAATCAAATCCTTTACAAAAGAAAACCTTGCAATTTCCAACTCAATATTTAAAAAAATAATATCAAAAACCTCTGAATAAAATGGTTGTATACATTGTTTTATTTAGAATTGGACTTTGGTCCATAAACCAAGTGCAGCAAAACGGTAGTCCAAGCATTCTTCAAATTGCACCGGAAAGAGAATAAGCCGCAAACTCAGATTTTTTAACATAAAAGAAAAGCATAGAAGTGAATTGAAAAAGAAAACAAAACAACATCCCACAGTCACACCAAAGTCTACTACGAATTCCCAAAAAAGCATAAACCATGGAAAAAAGCTTACATTAGAATATCATGTCAAACTACCAAAAACTCATTAAGAGATAAAGACATCAACGAAGCCTCCTTGCCTCCCTCTCAGATTCGAGCAGGGTGAGTACGTCACCCTCCCTGACAGGTCCCTTGACATTTCTCATGATGAATCGATTCTGATCATCAATAAATTTCACTCTCACTTGGGTGACTTGACCTCGAGAGCCAGTCCTGCCCATGATCTTCACGACAATGGCATGTTTAATCTGTGAATCCATTCTACAAAAGAGTACGGTTTCAACAGTTTAAATTCACATTTCAACACAGGACAACTCAAACGGCTTTAGCAAAGCTATTCATAAAAAGCTATCAGGTAAATAGCATTGAGTTGCCTAAAATTAGCAAAAGTAATTAATTCTTCATCACATCTATCCAATGAAGAATAAGCATTCGTCTTCGTTATATATGAAAAATAGACTAGTATTCAAAATAATGAACAAACTATAGTTGACAATTAACATGAAGTGGAATGTACTTTACCTAAAGGAATAATTCTAGTTGTATTCACTAATG